ATTGATGTTATGAAGTAAGTTGTTAGTAGTAAACATTGATGTTATGTTGTTAGTAGTAAACTCTGATGTTATGAAGTAAGTTGTTAGTAGTAAACTCTGATGTTATGAAGTAAGTTGTTAGTAGTAGACTCTGATGAAGAACCAACATGTACAGGAAAAGTAGTGGTCAGCATAGTTCAGAAGAACCAACCTGTGCAGGAAAGGTAGTGGTCAGTGTGGTTAAGAAGAACCAACCTATACAGGAAAGGTAGTGGTCAATGTGGTTAAGAAGAACCAACTTGTGTTGAAAAGCTTCATTTTTTATATCTAACCGAGTGAGATTAATAAATTATATTTTTGTCCAGTTTTAAAAGAAACCGTGGTTCTATTTTTTTTTCATATTAATCTAAACATTATTTGAAATAATACAAAGTGCTTTAAATGTTGTATTTTAAAAAGATTAGAATTTTATATCAATTCAAAAAGAGGACTTATATTTGATGGGTCACACTCACGCAGCTTGAAATTAGCAATGGCTAGCTGGCAAAAAGCTAATCTCTAGCCAGTGATCATTGAGGGATGCTGGTATTTTTCAGTAATCCATTTATGATTCAGACTAGTTGTAAATAATGGTCAAATCATTTAAAAAGCACAACATTAGTGAAAAATATGACACTATGGTAACTGGTCAGTAAACTTTTTCCAATAGATTGTGGCACATCATTCTAACAGATGTTTCAAAGGGATTCCCCAAGTTTAAAATAGCAAGTAAAGGCAAGCCAGGTTTCAGTCTCTCTCTCTCTGTTTGTTATTACACCTTATTTTTTCACTTCATATTATGAAATGTAACTCTTTTCAGAAGCAAAGACCTAATATTTGATAAAGTATGAACAATATGACATATGACACTTCCTAATGATTCACATCAACTGACTACTTACATCTGCTAAGGACATAAAAACTTTATTTTTTACCAGTATGGGTGATATAACCATGCTGACCACTACTTCTTCCTGTATAGGTTGGTTCTTCTTAACCACACTGACTACTACCTTTCCTGTATAGGTTGGTTCTTCTTAACCACACTGACCACTACCTTTCCTGCACAGGTTGGTTCTTCTGAACTATGCTGACCACTACTTTTCCTGCACAGGTTGGTTCTTCTGAACTATGCTGACCGCTACCTTTCCTGTACATGTTGGTTCTTCTTAACCATGCTGACCACTACTTCTTCCTGTATAGGTTGGTTCTTCTTAACCATACTGACCACTACCTTTACTTGTACAAGTTGGTTCTTCTGAAGTATACTTCTTTTCCTGCCCAGGTTCATTCTTCTAAACTATACTGACCACTTCTGTTCCCATACAGGTTCATTCTTCTGAACTATACTGACCACTTCTGTTTCCGTACAGGCTCATTCTTCTAAACTATATTTACCACTTCTGTTTCCGTACAGGCTCATT